TTCAAGAACTTATATTTTTTAATTTTTATTTTATAACTCAAACATATTATTTAATAATATTTATATAATTTATAAATTTTATTCCCACTGATATAGGGTACGCGCTAAGACTAGTAGATTAAATTACTAAACGGTATGGAACTTTCATATTGTGTGTGAATATGACTTGAATAATTATTATATGGAACCGCTAGTAATTTTAGGTAAAGGGGGAAATATTTATTTGTATGTATTGCTTTTTACCTACTTTTGGCCGTGACTTGCTCTGTACATTGATTGGAGGGAAAATGAGAGTGAACAAGAGGAAAGTGGGGTATGTTTTCCCGGGGGTGGGGGAGGGGGGGAGGTATGAGAGAGTGGAGGCCACGTCAGTCCCCTGGTGGGTTGAGGTGGAGTGAGTTAATGGTTTTTAATTACCTAATTAATGAGGACTAATAAAAGCTTAACTAAATATGCATTTGGAATGGTACCACTAAAAATTTAATTGTCAAAATTACCTAATTTTTTCTCCTCTCGCAAAGTTTAGATTTAATTAAATAAATGGAAATTACTTCATTTTTTTTTTATCTTTGCAAAAAATAAAACTTAAGACGATGTTTAGCCAAGTTGCAAAAATCAGCTTATTGTAAAAAGTGCTTTTTTTAAAAAATATTTTTGGAGAAAAGCAGTTTGTGTTTGGCTAATTAATTTGAAAAGCACTTTTGAGCAACAATTAGTGTTTGGTAAAGCTCTTAAAAACTGATTCTAAGTATATTTTTCTCAAAAGTGCTTTTGAAGAAAAGCTATTTTTTTCTGCTTCTTCTGCTTCTCCTCAAAATCACTTTTTTTTCTTCCAAAAGCTTGGCCAGATACTTCAATTTTGAAAAAACATAAAAATTTAAGAAAAAAAAAAGTGTTTCTAGAATTGGAGAAGCTTGCCCAAATATGCTAGTATTAGATCACTCAGGCCATGTCATTATGTTTTCGAACATATTTTGAACTATAAAACACCTCCCTCTTCGTCTTTTGTTTTTGTTTTTACAAAAAGATTGCATATCCTCCTGAATAGTGATGGCAAAATGGTTAAAAGAAATTCACCCATATTATCCGTTAAAAAATAAATTGGATAACGAATTTTTTAAAACGGGTCAAATATAGATAAGAACCATATTATCCACTTAGAATATGGACAACTAATGGGTTTAACTTTTACATTTGTAAAATCTTAAATTGGGAGTTTTTCAAGTTTGAGAGACTAGGAATTCTCCAAAGGTGATCATAGTCAAGAAGCCATGGACGTTGTTTATATTAACCATCGGTTAACCCGTTTTTTATCGGTTAAATATAGGTTTGTTCGGATAATTTATTCATTTTTTGTATTACCCGTTTTTACCCCTGGTCCGACCCACCCATTTGCCACCCTATTCCTGAGTCTCGTCTTTGAAAATACAGAATGGATTTGGAAAACACAACGAGGTCCTGAAACGACAAATATAAATTTCAATAAATAAATTACGACAAAAAAAGAAATGAGAAATAGTAATCACTTTATAAAATAAACATTGACAAATTTAAGTAAATAACGTAAATAAAAAGGCAGACTGGTGTATGAAGCATTGCGTATTCACGTAGGATTGAGAAAGGGCCGCAACCTAAGAGGTGTGACGTATGCAACTTATTTTAATAAAGCATTAGTGAGTGATTATACGAACACATAAATCATACGGAAACAACTTTAGTGTTGGTGTAAGGCTCCCATTCAGAATATAAATAACATAAATAATGTAAGTTTTTTTTCTACCTTGGGAGGTGGAGAGAGGGGTGTGGGGACCTATGGACCAGTGAGTGGGAACTGACATTGACTGTTGTTTGGCATATGACTCATGGGTTTATTCTTCTGTAGTTAGATTTTAGTCCATGTGTTTGACACATCCAGCTCAAATGTAGACTTTTAATGACTACTTAATACCTGCTTTATTTATGTTCTCACAAACTTCGCATATTTGTAAGTGTACCCTTAAACGTACAAAATGACATAAGTTAAAAATAACACATCTTGCTCTCTTGTTTTGGTTTGCATAAAATAAGAAAAGAAACAAGTGGAATTTGTTTTAGAAGCTTGAAGAATAGTTTTGCGCAAAAAATAATATTAATTTATTGCTATAATTATTTTTTAACCAAACATCAAAAATAAGAGTTTGATTAACAACAACAACAACATACCCAGTATAATTTCACAAGTGGGGTTTGAGGAGGATAATGTGTACGCAGACCTTACCTCTACCTGGAGACAGAGGCGGACCTATGGCTTATGTTGAGGGTTCACCGGACCCCGTAAATTTCGGCATAAATCTTGTATATGTATATGTATATACCTTGAAAATGGTTAATTAAAATCTCTTGGCACCCTTAACGCTAAAAGCCTTTAGGGAGAAGTGATTGAACAGAATATTGTGCCCCTCGCATTAAATTCATGGGTCCGCGCCTCTGCCTGGAGAGGTAGAGAGGCCAAAAAAAATAAACAAAATAAGAGTTTGATCAATGAGCTTATTACAAACTCTTTCAACCGTGGCTATTTCTAGACAAACTTTTTAAATGTCTATGCACCCCTACCTCTTTTATCACTTATTCATAGTTTAGAAGCCTTTTAATTGGTGATCTGTGCCATTGTTGACGAAGCTTATATCCCACCATCTCACTAGCTGACCTTAACTATATTAATTTAAGATCACATCTAATGTTCAGAGTTTGCCAAGAAAACCAATTCGATTTTTCCAACAATAAAACAACCTTGTTTGTTGAAAAATATTTTTTGCAATAGGTTAGACCTCCTTTTTACTCCTAAATGCTCTCGGCACACGATAAGCCAAGGAAGGCTAACGTGCACCATCGATGGCAAGGAGACGCAAACAAGCAGCTCCGGTGACTGCTGCTATGACACCGGTGAACTCAGTGATGCAGACTCTCACTCCGTTAACTTTTGGAAGTTTTCTACCAACTAGATTCCAACCAATTCAAGAGGAAAAGGAGCTAAGTGTGGACGAGGAAGGGAACAATAATCAATGGAACAATACAAATGCTGTTACAGAGAAGGAAGCTCAGAAATGTAAGGATCAATTGCCAACCGGTCCAAAACGATTGCAATTTTCTGAAGCTGTATCTTCAAAGCCATCTCCAGATCCAAATCTCATAGCAATAGCAGAGGTAGGGAAGGAGAAGGTCGTGCATGCAAAGGAGCTTAGACAGCAGAATCGTAACTCTCAGATGGGGATGAGGTTGGAGTATGTTCCACCAAGTCATAGAGATGGTAAGGTTGTCATTCAAATAGAGGAAAAAGATGTAAGTGAGCTAAATGAATACTAGGCGACTGCTCTAATTGGGTATGTACTTGGTGGAGCTCCGTGTGAGAAATTTGTGGAGAACTATGTAGAATCAGTGTGGGATTTTGTCACTAAACCCCAAATTCTATATCACCAAGATGGATATTATGTGTTTCGATTCACAACAGTTGAGGAAAGAGATACAATCGTGCAAACAGGGCCATACTCATATCATAACAAGCCATTTATTTTGCAGAACAGGGAAAGAGATTTCCACTTTGATCCTAAATGTATCACTACTATTCCTTTGTGGATTCATTTTCCTAGTCTATAAGTTGGGTATTGGACTGCTGATGCATTAAGTTAGGTGGCTAGTGTTGTAGGTTTACCAATGTACACATATAAATTTACAGCAGAATTGAACAAAATCTCCTATGCTAGAGTGCTTGTGAAAGTTGACATTACAAAGCCATTAGTGGAGAATGTTGAGATTGTAACTCCCACTGGTACTCGACAGCAGGAAATATTGTATGAATGGAGGCCAAAATTCTGTAGTGAATGCTTCCATTTTGGTCATGATATCTTTTAGTGCTGGAAGTCAACCAAACATCATGAAGATGCTGAATTCAAGGCCCCTAAAAGAAGAAATAGAGGCAGAAGGAGGAAAGTTATTCAGGAATGAAAGCCAAAAGATCAGCAGGAACAAGAAGCGGGGATTGGAGAGGTGATTGAAGTACAACCTCCAACAGAAATTGACAAAGGAAAGCAGAACACAACAGATGAATCAGACCAAAGGAGTATGATGATACAAAGGAAGGAAGGTAGTGAAAGGCAGAATACTCCATTTGTTCAGCAGGCTATAAATGGTGAGGCTAGCACTTCTAATAGATTCACAAGAGTGTGGGCAAATTTCTGTACATGGAGGGGTGATGAACACTGATCCTACACAAAAACCACCATGATTAGAAGTACTTGGAACATAAGAGAACTGAATAGGCCCTATAAGCAGAAGGAACTGAGAATCTTTCTGCAAAAGAATAAAACAGATATCTTAGGATGTCTAGAGACCAGAGTAAAAGAAAAGAAGGCAAAAAATATCCTGTATAAGGTAGCAAAGCATTGGGGTTATTGTTGTAACTATTCAAAGGCTGAAAATGGGAGAATATGGGTTTTATGGAAGACCACTTTGATAGTTAACATAATTCAAATCCATGAGCACTTCATTCATTGTCTAGTAAATGATCCAGTGACTGGTTATCAGATTATGTTGACTGCAGTGTATGCTAGGAACAAGCTGCAGGAAAGGGCAAGTCTATGGTATGATTTGCAACAGATAGGGGCATGTTCAAATTCCCTGGCTCATAAGTGGTGATTTCAACAATGTCCTAACGACAGATGATAGATTAGGACAACCAGTTACTATGAATGAGGTTCAGGAGTTCAAGAAGTGTATTGATAACATGCAACTGACCCCATTGAGGACAAAGGGTTGTTTCTTTACTTGGTGTAATAAGCAAAGTGCAAATGATAGAGTTTACAGTAAGATTGATTTGCTTTTGGCAATTTTGAATGGACTAAAGATTATGGGCGTGTGGAAGCTGAATTTTTAGAACCTGGAGTGTCAGATCACTCACCTATCTTGGTCCAAATATGGAAAAGAAGTACTATATATCCCAAGCATTCAAACTGTACATGGTAACAATGGAGCATAGGGAGTTTAAGCCTATGGTAGATAGAATTTGGAAGCAGAAGCTGGGAAATGATCCTATGACTGGTATCTGGCAGAAGTTACAAAAGCTAAAAGATGAGGCTAGAGGTCTAAACAAGGAGATGGCTAGCTATGAGCAAAGATTGACTCAAATAAGACAGAATCTGGAGTGTACTCAGGCCAATTTGATACTTGATCCTTTCAATCAAGTGTTGATAGAACAGAAAAACAGACTCTGCAGGAAATAGAGAAATAGAGTATCATAGATGAGAGAATACTAGGGCAGAAGGCTAGAGTAACCTGGATTATGTTTTGCTGACGATCTGTTAATGTTTTGCAGGGGTGACATAACTTCAGTTACTATATTACAGGAAGCCTTTAATAGGTTTTCAGCTGCATCTGGGTTGCAGGCAAGTGCAGAAAAGAGCTCAATTTATATTGCTGGTGTGGCACAACATATAAAGGAGCAATTGATTGAGCTTACTGGATATACAGAGGGCTCTATACCCTTTAAGTATCTGGGGGTTCCATTGTTTGCAAGGAAGCTAAACATCTACCAATGTCTACCTCTAATGGAAAAGATTACTGAAAGAGTAAGATGCTGGTCAGCTAGGATGCTCTCATATTTTGGAAGAATTCAGCTCAGCAAATCTGTGTTATTTGGAATACAAACATACTGGTCTCAAATATTTTTATTGCCAACGAAGATCATGAAGATGATAGAGACCATATGTAGGACCTTTCTGTGGACTGGTTCAACTGATTGCTCAAGGAAAGCTTTGATTACAAGGGACAAGATATGTCAACCTAGAGCTACTGGAGGTTTGAATGTCATAAATATGAAGATATGGAATAAAGCAGCATTACTGAAACATCTCTGGGCATTGGCAATGAAGAAAGATACACTGTGGATCAAATGGGCACATAGTTACTATATAAAGAACAGAGATATTGCAGAAATGAACACACCCAAAATAGCAGCATGGGTGGTCAAGAAAAACATAGAGGCAAGGGAAGATGTGAAACAGATGAGGCAGTTCATAATAGTCTTATATCTACACTGGAGAGCTTAGTGAAGCAAGGCAAGTTCCAAATACATAAAGCTTATGTTCAGATGCAGCCTCAATTTCCAAAAGTTATTTGGAAAAGTATTCATTTACATACACATATTCATCCTAGATTCAAATTTCATCTATGGTTGGCTATTCATCAAAGGATAGCAATTGTGGATAGACTCATTAAGTTTGGAATTCAAGTTCCATTAGAATGTGTGTTATGTGCAAACAATATGGAAACTTTTGATCATTTATACTTTGGCTGTCCAAAAACTAACAAGCTATAGGACAGAGTATTGAAATGGCTGGGCATTGCAAGGCAGATAGGAAGCTAGCAGAATGAGCTGAGATGGATGAGCAGTTTGGCAAAAAGGAAATATTGTAAAGCAGTGATGACTACATCAGTTTTCGCGATGGTTGTCTACTGTATTTGGCGCGAAAGGAACTCGATTAGATTCAACAAAGGCAGATATAACGTGGATGACCTATGCAAGGAAATTGCTATACATATGCACATACAAGGGAGGAAAATGACCAAATGTCAAAAAGAATTGGAGAGTTTAAACAATTTTCCTTAGTATAGTTTATAGTTGATTGAAGTTAGTGTAGTCATAGTGTTAAACTTTGTAATAGTGAATAGGAGATTAATGGTCACCGTGAATCTGGATATGTAAAGACAATTCTTTTTATGAAATAAAATGTTAGTTTTATCAACAAAAAAAAATTATTTCTTGCAACAATTGGAAAAGTCCAAAAGAAGTTTTTCAAATTTTTAATTAAACGTCACATTACTTTTTGTCCCTTCACTTAAGCTCGTTTTCCTCTTTTTATTTTTCATTTCCTTTTCTTCTCTGTCCCTGTCAAACAAAGCTAGTAGTTCTTTTCTTTATATTTATGGGAATTGTAGAGATTTTTGCTAATAGATATATCCCAGCTTTATGTTGGAGCATTAACAACATTTTCACTTTTTGTGGTTTACGTTGTTCTAAATATTAATTGCTACATTTGTGTTATGGTTGTTACTCTTTCTCTTATAAATACGCATTTCTTGGACCATTTATGTTTTATTTGACCAGTCAAAGTCACAAAGTCGTTATCTACCTCTATTTATTTTAAATGTTTCACATATTGTTTTTTCTTAATCTATTGTTTTAATAAGTACTATTCTGAAGTACTTATAGTAATTTGAACAGACAACTATAGTACGCATTTCCCGGTTCGTGGGCATTCATCGCAACCCTTCACCCAGAAGTATGCATCTTTGAACAATGTCGGCCAGGAGAAGCCCGACTCCAAAACTTTCTCAGCTGTCCTTACTCCCCCGAAATGGCCACCATATGGGGATGTGTGACAAGCCTGCAAAATAGAAGATTGGTCTATCTCGGGGATACATCTCCGGATCATGTTATCAACACAAATTCTGAACTGATAAGGCTCATTCCAATAATACATGCGACAGTCACGAAAGAACTTTTTCTTTTGGACAGAGGAAAGGTCATAGGGGACAATACAACTCGCCAGGTAGTTTGCAATGTCTGCATACCATGGCGCTACCTCAAGGCTCGTGGCCAACAGTTTCTCTTCAAGGAAAGTCTCCACAATCTCTTCCACCTCAACCTTCTTCTCTGCTCCTTCCAGCCTAGACAAGTGATCAGCCACTTGGTTCTCCGTTCCCTTTTGGTCACAGATTTCCAAGTCAAATTCTTGCAGCAGTAGCACCCATTGAATCAGGCACAGCTTTGACTCCTTCTTCTCAATTAGGTACCTGAGAGCAGCATGGAAGGTATAAACAATTATCTTCGAGCCTATCAGGTATGACCTGAATTTGTCAAATGCGAATACCACCGCTAGCATCTCCTTCTCGGTCACTGTGTATTTAGTTGGGCACCACTCAAAGTTCTACTTGTGTAGTAGATTGGATGCATGACTTTATCTTTTCGCTGCCCAAGAACTGCTCCCACAACATAGTCTTTTGCATAACACATCATCTCAAATGGTTGCTCCCAGTCGAGTGCAACTATGATAGGTGCAGACACCAGCCTCTTCTTCAATTCTTCAAAAGCTACCCTGCAGTCAGCAGAAAACACAAATGGGTGACCTTTTTCAAGCAATTTACACAAAGGGTTAGCAATTTTGGAAAAATCTTTTATAAACCGCTTGTAGAAGCCGACGTGGCCAAGGAAACTTCATATTGCCTTGACGGAAGTGGGTGGTAGCAACTTTTTTAATACATCAACCTTTGCACGATCCACCTCAATGCCTTACTTGACACTAGGTGCCCCAATACTATACCTTCATGTACCATGAAATGGCACATTCCCCAATTTAGCACCAGATTAGTCTCCATACACCTCTTCAATACTATTTTCAAGTTCATAAGGCAATCATCGAATGAGTTCCCCACTACTGAGAAGTCATCCATGAAAACCTCCATTATTTCCTCTACCATATTTGAAGATGGCCATCATGCACCTTTGGAATATGGCGGGTGCATTGCACAGGCTAAACGGCATTCTCCGAAAGGCATAGATGCCATACGGACAGGCGAACGACGTTTTCTCTATCCTCCGAGGCAATAGAGATCTGATTATACCCCGAGTATCCATCCAAAAAGCAAAAAGGGGACCTCCATGCCAATCTATCTAGCATTTGATCAATGAATGGCAGTGGGGAATGGTCTTTTCGAGTAGCCTTGTTCAACCTTCTGTAATCCACACAGATTTGTCATCCTGTGACTGTTTTTGTTGAGATCAACTCGTTGTTCTTATTTTGCACTACAGTCATTCCACCCTTTTTTGACACATACTGAACTGGGCTGACCCAATTGCTGTTAGAGATGGGGAAGATGATTCCCGCATCTAACCACTTGATCACTTCTTTCTTCACAACTTCTTTCATGTTGGGGTTCAGCCTTCTTTGATGTTCTCTGAAAGGTTTGTGCCCATCATCCAGTAGAATCTTATGCATATAAAAAGTTGGGTTGATACCCTTTATGTCTTCAATGGTCCAACCGATTGCAGTTTTGTACTCCTCCAGAACCTGCAAAAGTTGTTCTACTTGCACATCTAGCAAACCAGATGAGATAATAATGGGTAAAGTCGAGTTCGGTCCTAAGAAAACATACATGAGGTGAGACGGTAACGGTTTTAGCTCCAACTGTGGTGGCTCTTCAATTGATGGCTTAGTTGGAGGAGTCTTTCTTTCTTCTAAGTGTAAAGGCTCGAATTCGAGCTCTCTTTTCCAATACCCTTGGCCTTCAAGGGCCAAAACCAACTCTGCCAAGTCTTCACCATCTACCTCTTCTAAGTTCATCAAGCAGGCTGCTAGAGAGTCTTTTACGTTTAATCACATCCACAACTTCAATTAGAGAGCAGTTAGCAAACTCACTGGGTCGCCGCCTGGACTTCTGCACATTGAACGTTATTTTTTCATCATTTAGTTTCATCTTTAGCTCCCCAATTTCACAATCAATCAAAGCTCTCCATGGCCTTCCCAAAATTATGGGAATCTCTTCATCAGCCTGGCAATCCAGAATGACAAAGTCTGCCGGAAACACAAACTTTCCAACCTGCACAAGTACATCATCAAGTATAACTGATGGCCTCTTCACCGTTCAGTCGGCTAGCTGGAGTAACATGGATGTGGGTCTTGCCCTTCCAATGCCTAACCTTTTATAGATAGACAAGGGCATCAGGTTTATGCTTGCCCCCAAATCACACAATGCTTTGGCAAAAGCATCGCTGCCTATGGTGCACGAAATTGTGAAACTCCCTGGGTCGGATAGCTTTTCCGCTATAGGTCTTGTGATAACAACACTACAGGTCTGAGTCAGTGTCACAGTTGCCAAGTCTTGAAAGTTTAACTTGCGAGACATCAAGTCCTTCATTATTTTTGCATAACCGGGCATCTCCCTTAAGGCATCAATCACTGGAATTTTCACCTGATCTGCTTCAACATCTCCATGAATTTCTAATATTGCTCATCCTTCTGATATTTGGCCAACCTCCGCGGGAGGGGTGCTGGAGGTCGCTTCTTTCCTATGGCTTGAGTTAGATCCTGCTCAGTAACTTTTTCTAATGCCTTCTCTTGCACTTTCTGAGTCTCCTTTGCAATTTTCTTTGTTTAGTTCCTCTTGGGCTGGCTGCACTCGTACTTCTGTTAGCTTAGTTGACTCATCTACCATAGTTGGTATTGGCACAAATATCTCAGTTGGTCGGCTTTCGCGAGCAATTTCCTGCTCTAGATCAAGATCTCTACCATTTCTTAGACTCACCGCCATAAACTGCTTTAAGACCTGCTCTTCCGGGTTGACATGTGTGTCCGCAGGTAACGTCCCTTGGGGACGATTATTTAGAGCCATCGATATCTGCCCTTGTTGAATCTCAATGTCTTTGATAGCTTAGTCGTGTGATACTACCTTTTCTTGCATCTGGTGGACCTTTTCTTCCATTTTCCCGCTGGACCCAATGAGTTGTTGCAGCATTGCTTTAATTTCAAACAACCCATCATCTTGTCGCCCTATCTGTTGCTGTTGAGGTTGTTGATAAGCTAGTTGTTGATTTTGCTGATTGTACCCTTGTTGCCTTTGATAAGGCACAACCTGACCCTGTGGTCGTGCAACTCCGGGATTATTCTTATTATTGTTTGCTGCTGTGCTGGCCTATATTGTTGATTCTGCTGTCCCCAAGTTTGACCACCTTGTCTCTGGCCTCCATAGTTGCACACATAGCTCATATTCTCCTGATAGTTATGGTTGTCATTTTCACCACTCCACGAGCACACATACGGTTGGTTAATGCATGGTGTACATAAGCCCCCATTAGTCGTGTCAACTATGTGTACCTACTTCTGGCCTGATTCATCAGTCTTCTTGGTAAGGATACTCATTTGCGTCATCAGAGTGGCCATATTCTCGGCTATGGAGTTGTTTGAGTCAAAAGCTACTGAGTGAACTACTGGGGGTGATTGTAGTGTCTTTTGTCATCCATCCTGAGTTTTGAGCCATTTTATCTAGCAGG